TGTGGGGGGAGGTAAGAGCTGCCTCTGGAGCCGGGGCCTGGGTTTTAAGCAGACCTCAAGCATGAAATCCAGGGGTTCCGTTCTCGGCGGGCTGCTGCCCCGAGTTCCCCAGGAATGGTGCCCTGGTGAGGAGGAGGCGCTCCAGGGGTTCTGTCGTCTGTGGACGTGCTGCGGGGGGGGGGCTGCTGCCCCGAGTTCCCCAGGAATCGTGCCCTGGTGAGGAGGAGGCGCTCCAGGGGTTCTGTCGTCTGTGGACGTGCTGCGGGGGGGGGGCTGCTGCCCCGAGTTCCCCAGGAATCGTGCCCTGGTGAGGAGGAGGCGCTCCAGGGGTTCTGTCGTCTGTGGACGTGCTGCGGGGGGGGGGCTGCTGCCCCGAGTTCCCCAGGAATCGTGCCCTGGTGAGGAGGAGGCGCTCCAGGGGTTCTGTCGTCTGTGGACGTGCTGCGGGGGGGGGGCTGCTGCCCCGAGTTCCCCAGGAATCGTGCCCTGGTGAGGAGGAGGCGCTCCAGGGGTTCTGTCGTCTGTGGACGTGCTGCGGGGGGGGGGCTGCTGCCCCGAGTTCCCCAGGAATCGTGCCCTGGTGAGGAGGAGGCGCTCCAGGGGTTCTGTCGTCTGTGGACGTGCTGCGGGGGGGGGGCTGCTGCCCCGAGTTCCCCAGGAATCGTGCCCTGGTGAGGAGGAGGCGCTCCAGGGGTTCTGTCGTCTGTGGACGTGCTGCGGGGGGGGGGCTGCTGCCCCGAGTTCCCCAGGAATCGTGCCCTGGTGAGGAGGAGGCGCTCCAGGGGTTCTGTCGTCTGTGGACGTGCTGCGGGGGGGGGGCTGCTGCCCCGAGTTCCCCAGGAATCGTGCCCTGGTGAGGAGGAGGCGCTCCAGGGGTTCTGTCGTCTGTGGACGTGCTGCGGGGGGGGGGCTGCTGCCCCGAGTTCCCCAGGAATCGTGCCCTGGTGAGGAGGAGGCGCTCCAGGGGTTCTGTCGTCTGTGGACGTGCTGCGGGGGGGGGGCTGCTGCCCCGAGTTCCCCAGGAATCGTGCCCTGGTGAGGAGGAGGCGCTCCAGGGGTTCTGTCGTCTGTGGACGTGCTGCGGGGGGGGGGCTGCTGCCCCGAGTTCCCCAGGAATCGTGCCCTGGTGAGGAGGAGGCGCTCCAGGGGTTCTGTCGTCTGTGGACGTGCTGCGGGGGGGGGGCTGCTGCCCCGAGTTCCCCAGGAATCGTGCCCTGGTGAGGAGGAGGCGCTCCAGGGGTTCTGTCGTCTGTGGACGTGCTGCGGGGGGGGGGCTGCTGCCCCGAGTTCCCCAGGAATCGTGCCCTGGTGAGGAGGAGGCGCTCCAGGGGTTCTGTCGTCTGTGGACGTGCTGCGGGGGGGGGGCTGCTGCCCCGAGTTCCCCAGGAATCGTGCCCTGGTGAGGAGGAGGCGCTCCAGGGGTTCTGTCGTCTGTGGACGTGCTGCGGGGGGGGGGCTGCTGCCCCGAGTTCCCCAGGAATCGTGCCCTGGTGAGGAGGAGGCGCTCCAGGGGTTCTGTCGTCTGTGGACGTGCTGCGGGGGGGGGGCTGCTGCCCCGAGTTCCCCAGGAATCGTGCCCTGGTGAGGAGGAGGCGCTCCAGGGGTTCTGTCGTCTGTGGACGTGCTGCGGGGGGGGGGCTGCTGCCCCGAGTTCCCCAGGAATCGTGCCCTGGTGAGGAGGAGGCGCTCCAGGGGTTCCGTCGTGTGTGGACGTGCTGCGGGGAGGGACAGCTGCCCCGAGTTCTCCAGGAATCGTGCCCTGGTGAGGAGGAGGCGCTCCA